GGGGGCCGTGCTAATCTTCTCTGTATAGTTCCAATTTTTAACGGACATCCCGAAGAACTTTTTGACCGGGGCAGCGCCCCGCGTCCTTTCGGTATCCGAGCGGCTCTAATCCCTCCGCGAATCTGGCCTCCTTCCGAGGCCAGATTCCGGCGCCTCACACTGCCTCCACCCTTCGGAGGCACAAGGACTGGCCCATCAAAGAGGCTCAGTCCTGATGCTATCGGCTGACCCCCGGCAGGTACCGCCCCCCTGTCGTAGCGGGTATCGCACCTGCTGATGGGTACAGCCCCCGCATATTCCCCTGTTGGAGGCTTAAGCAAGAATGTGGCTGCTATGGAGTTCCCCAAAACATTACAACGGGCTAACTTCGATGCGGCCACGAAAACTACTTGCCGCTGTATTCCAAGCAATCCCGCGAATACAACGTACCCTCACGCCGGCCCGCGTCCTTGAACGGGATGCGGTAAATAAAACGGAAAAAAGGGGGAGTAAAATAAAAAAATAAAATAAAAATAGGAACAGCAGGGCTGCTGGCGCCTCGTCAGTCCCACGGATCGGGCCTGCCGCCGCGCCCGTAAACAAAACCGAGGGGGATAGCCCCACAGGCCCTCAACCCCTGAGGCTTTCACCTCACGCTACTCCGCTGCCGCCGTGTCGACGCTCGCCGACCTCGATCCTCGAACCTTCGTAGTGTCAGTCCATTGTCGTAACCTATAGGGCTAAGCTCAAGCTTGAGACCCACATCCGCGGAGTGCCATATGAGGCGGTGCGGCGCTGCGCTCGGGGCCAGGGAAATTGGCCTGAGCCTCATCCCTGCCTACCACCGTGCGCGCGGCCGCCCAGCGTCTGCTCCGACTTACCAAGTTGTACCATGGCCGCCACTTGCGTCACCCCGCGTGCCAAGGCCTACTGCCGTCACACTGTCGCCATCGATGTTGTCGTCCTCGCACGCGCACTCGCCTCGGTCAAACGTACCAATCAACCGAAAATATCCCTAATTCCTACTTAACAAATAAATATTAATAATATCTTTAAAAAAAAAGACCGATACCCGCGTCGGCTCTACAATCAATAACAGAAACAAATCACGCGCGCCTTAAATCTGCGCGCCCGCACACTCCCTACTGTAGTCAATCACCCAGTCAACGTAATCACAGACACAGCCGCGCCTAGCGCGGTATACTTAACTTTTAATCCAGACTTATTTTCTGTCGCTTGCAAAAACCAGGGCGGATACCCTTGTAAGGATATTCGCGCCGACAACGCATTGTGGCTGCCTTGATCTGAGTAGCTGTGTCCATTCTTGGGGGATTGGAGCAATGCTATCGTCATGTCTTTCTCTCCACTAATGTTGGCTTGATAGAGTAGGGCACAGACTATCCTTTTCTCTCCATTGTTTTTGTGCTCTTCATCCCACAGGTGTTTGACAAGGTCTACTCCTTTACCAAGCCATGGTTTTCCAAAGGACCCTGCCCTGCTTTCCTCTGCCATGCGAAAGGGGTTTCCTGCCGACAGCTATATGAGTCTATTGCCAAAGATAGGCTGTTGGTTAGGGAGAGCAAGGATTGGCTGTCGAAGACCCAACTGAGGAAGAAACTGAGGTATTGCCACAAAGTGGGAGAGGCGTTGGAAACCATTATCTTCGCCATCCCTCTTGACTGGGTCCGGATCTTGAGGAAAGGACCGGTGGTGATGGAGGGTGACTGGGTGGGGTTCTGGGATACAAAAGGGGTGGTTGGGAACGTAGTGTATACTCGTCAGGCCGGCACGGGGGGGAACAAGAGGTGGTTGCCAACCTTTTTAGAATTATAACGAATAATGGCCTGGAGCGGGTGCAGCCAGAAGAGACAGTATGGTGTCTAAGATTTGGGCTATACCGTATCCACGTCCTTAAAGAAAAGGACCAATGGAGAGCATACAAGCAAAATAAACCAATCCAAGAGCTACCACTTGACCCCGACGAATGGATATGGTCCCAGAAATATGGGAAAGGTAGTTCTGGGGTGCTGCGGCTGCAGTCTCTCTCGGTCAAAGCGACCTATCGAATGCTGCGACCGATAGTAAATCTGGAAGATGTGGTAGAAGCACGCTGGATGAAGCACCTGAACGTGGGAAGAGATATGTTGTGGCCGGTTAAGTGGTTTAAGATGAGCAGGGCCATGTCGGCGAAACTGGCCTCACTCCAATGACAAATAGAGCATAGGTCCCTGCCGACCAATGACTGGCTGATAGATAGAACGCACCTAGAACAAAAGGGTGTGGCACTCCCATGGTGCAAGCTATGCACAACATCCTTCCCGACTTGTAAATGGTCAGAGACCATAAAGCACATGTTCTTGCAGTGCCCGACAACAATATGGTTGTGGAGGTGGTGGGACCGCATATGGAGACAATTGGGCACCTCACAACCTTGGCCATGGGACTGGAGAGCGCTCCTCTGTGAGGCGTGGACCCCAGAGCAAGCTACCCCTTTTGAAGAAAATATGTTTAAAATAGGCCGCAGGGCAGTTATCTGGGCCATCTGGTGGAGAAGATGCACACTCGAAATGGAAGGGGTGTGCCGGGATGGAACGGAGTTCATCAACTCAATAAAGGAACAAATACAGGAGGACATCTCTATTCAATGGGAAAGATTCAAAGAAAAAAAACACATACCTACACTCTAAGCGAGAAATTAGACAACTCATTGAGAAGTTTTGTAAAGACTGGGTGGGCGGATCGCTAAGGTAATATGGAAGGGCGGGGAGAAAAGGGGGAAAGATATCGGGGATGGGGAAAGGGACTACCACCTATGCTTTCAGGATTGGACCCAGATTGACTCCTCTATCCCGCTCCGGCCCTTCTCAGACTTTCCACATCTCTTTCCACCCCCTCCTTTAGCTCTGGTTGAAATGGGATGGTATGGGGGGGTTACGGGCTAAGGATAGAGTGGAAAGAGACAGTTTTTTTTTGGAAAATAGAGGCAGAACAGAATGGTGGATGTTTTTAGCAATGATATGTAAAAACTAGGGCTGGGGTCTGAGTGGAACAAAGAGATCGATAGTGGGGGATGGGGTGGTAAAGTCCTTTGGAAAGGGAGCAACTAGTCTTTCAATAGCAGGTATTCGGCGCCTGGTACAGGGCGAAGAGGTAGCTCCTGTTCCCAACAACCTGCACAGTCAATCCTCTGGAAGACAGAGTAATCAATGCTGGCAGGTGTCTTCCTCAGTTATTCCCTTGTCATGTTTTTGATTCGTTCTGTGTATATGGGATGCTGGACCCGTTTTCCAGCAGGTGATGCTCCCCACCAATAGATGGAGCCGCTCCCCGGGTGCTAGTGCTGTCTGCTCTTACCAGTAGCACTAGCACTGCAGGGGGTGTTGTTGGGAAAAAAAAACAAAAAGGCTGCTGGTTAAGGCAGTCTCTGCGTTTCCCTCTCCAGTCTTTTCTATTTTTTAACCGCCTTGTTCACTCGATCTCCTTTCCTCTCGTTTCCCTTTGTTTATTCTTCCTTCCTCTTTTTTCTTTCTTTTTCTTTCCTTCAATAAAAAATTTGGACCATTTCTCGATTTATGTGTGTCATCGTTGCGCAGGGGCCATGCTAATCTTCATTCTCTGTATCGTTCCAATTTTAAACGGATGTCCCAAAGGGGACGGTTGTTGCTTCTTCGGAAGTTCTTCCTAAAGATGTGAAGTAACTGGATCCATTAGCGAAGCTCTCCGCGAACATCCACTACCGTTTTATTTTGACGAGTGTGCTCGAAGGCTATGTTTTGTGCCCTAGGCCGTAAGGCTCAAAACAGCATGACTCGTCTCTCCGCTAACGCACTGTTGTCAAAAGCTTGATATATTCCCACACGACGAGGCAGAAGGGCGATGCTGCAGTATCTGTGACTGCACTCCAGTTTAATATGTTTCGCTGCTTCTCGCACATTGTGTCCTCTGGTCTGCGAGAGTAAAGCCTCACATAATGTGCTATCTTTTCTTCTTCTTCTTCTTCTTCTTCTTCTTCTTTTCTTTTTTTGTTTTTTTTTGTTTTTTTTTGTTTTTGTTTTTGTTTAAGGCTAATTCTTTGAAGCCCAACCAATTCAATTACCTGTCAAATCTGGACAGGACGGCCTTTCAGGCCTTTTTTTATTGTCATTATAGTATTACGGGGAACCCCGTAGCAGCCACATCCGTGCTCAAGCCTCCAACGAGGGAACATGCGGGAGCTGCACCCACCAGCAGGTGCGATACCTGCTACAGCAGGTGGGCGATACYRGCCAGGGGTCAGCCGGTAGCATCAGGACCRAGCYTMTTSGMTGGGCCAGTCACTGTGYCTCCCSTCCGGTCCCCTCCCCCTATGAACATCAGCAGTCTCTGCTCAATGCCACTCGGGGGGACCAACGACATATCTCTAGGTGGCGGGCACCAAGCTTGCCCAGGAAGGTGCATGAGGCCAATGGGGATTGAACCCAAGACCTCCTGAATGCCACTTGCGTGCCTTACCAACTGAGCTAGGCCGCTGGATTGCTATCTTTTTCTACATGAATGGTGTCTTCTTCTTTGTTGCTTTTTCTTTTCCATATTTTATTGGTGTCTTCTTCTAGGCTTGTTTGTTCCTTTTTTTTTTTTTTTCTTATTTTATTTCAAAATGGGTTGAGCACTGTATCCCTCAGGCCCCCGGATGAGTTCGTCATTCTAGGTGTCTTTCATGCATCGCTTGTAATTTTTGTGAAAAATATGAACTCAGTGATCCGTTCACCGCCAGTCACATGTATGTTACAGTCTGCTACAAGCGCAGGTACCACCAGGTCATCCTTCTGCAATATGTTGCAGATTATTATTATTATTATTATTTATTTTTTTTCAGCAACTGGTTACTCACAATTTTGTGTCGTCAGAAACATAAAACATGTCCGTTAAAAAAAAAATTAATAATCAATCGACAGTGTTCAGACATGGAGGGGCAGGAGGGGAGGAGGAGAGGAGGGGGGAGGGGGGGAAGGGGGAGTGGAAGGGGGTGGAATTCCACTCACAGTATGTCTTCTAATCGTGCGAAGATCTGGAGCAAAGGGGATCATCGACACAAATCGCAGCATTCGGCGCATCAGGGGGTCATCTGCTGTTGAAGCTTTTGGATCTAGACTGTCGCTTCCCCCGGTGGCATGTGACGCTGAAGCGTGCTGCTGGAAAGCCGATGGGAAGACCAAGGCAGGGAAAAGACACAGAAAAAATATTTTTGAACTTAATGTACAAGTATGAACACAGGGCAGGAGGGTGGGGGAAAGGCCCAGATAGGGATCAGGGGTGAACACATAATGACAGAAATAGGTCACAACTTCTCACAAGTTTGAAGGCCTAATGGTCTGATGGGTAACACAAGGGACATGGTCGCCACATGGTTCGGAAGCACATCCAGAGTGGCTCGACTATATTTCTTTCTGTCATTACGCAAAACAGTCCATAGTCGTTGCGACCCAACAGAAGAGACATGGGGGCCATGATGGGGCCCCTATTTAAACAACTAGGAAGATGCCAAACCCCACATTTGACATCCATGGTCACTGGGTGCTGTCACAGAATGAGTTTTCTTTGCTTTCTTCTCTTTGGGGGCGTATCAATTGACCTTTCTTTCTTTCTTTTTTTTTTTTTCTTTTTTTTTTTTTAACTTCTGGAGAGGGCTACACTTGGGAGAGTGATAAGAGCATCTCCCTCAAGTGGTCCCTCCGGTGAAGGCTCCGTCTATTGGTGGGGAGCTGCACCTGCTGGAAACCGGGTCCAGCGTCCCAAGTATTACAGAAAAGCGTTGAAATTGCTGGAAACGGTGTCCAGCGTCCCACTTATTGCACCTTTACAGGCCTTCGTACTGCTGAAGGGCCCAGTTGTTCCTGGTATGATCATTGCTGTATTCCTCCTTCTCCACTTCCAGTACCACTGTTAACTTTGAAACCCTTCCTCTGAGGTCTCGGTGAGGTCTGTTGTTCGTAGGGTCCAGTTTCCACTGTTATGGATTCCTATGTCCTCCTGTCTTTCATTGTGGGCTGTTTCCATCATAAAATCAGGTCCCTTTTGTCCCTTGGAGCTGCTAGTGATTCCCTTCCCTTCTTAGGGCACCCCGTATTTGTTAAGCCAGCCCTGGTCAGCAGCCCCCCATTTGAATGCCTGACCTATTATGTCCCTTGACCCCTTAAACCCTATACCCTTTAGTCTCTTCAAGCTCCTACCGTCGACCTTCGTGAACCTTGAAGCCAGTGGCTCAGGCTACATCCCCAGTAGCGACTGCAGCCCTTTTGCCCAGTGGGGCTCACATCTCCTCCCGGGTCGAAACCTGATGTAATTGCCCGCTGTTGTAGTTTAGCTGTCCAGTTGATCCCCATTTATCGCCACCGCCGGGCCGGAACCTGATGTAATTGCCCGCTGTTGTAGTTTAGCTGTCCAGTCGATCCCCATTTATCTCTACCGCCTCCTGGTGCTGCTGTCTGTTTCTTATGGTGAGTTGCAGCCATTGTAGTGCACAGGCTTCCACCATCACCCTTTCTCCCCCGGACTGTGACCTGGGACGATGTGCCTCCTTTTCCCTTTCCCCTTGCTCCCTCTTCTCTCCCAGCCGATGGGGATCCTCCGGTGTCGCTGTGGTCTTGATAGTCAATGTCGTCACAGGAGATGGCTCGGGGGGGAGAGGGGGGAAGGTGGCGGGTTATACTGGCTGGGGAGTGGAAGGGCGGGGTTGGGGGAGGGAGG